CCCCAAAACCCCAAAACCCCAAAACCCCAAAACCCCATGAGGCGTTGTAACTGATTCAAATGAGGCTTATCAGTTAAGAGCGTTATATAAAAGTTATTGAATATTTACTTGGTATTCGTAATAATTCATAGTTCAGAACATAAAAGTGGCAAAAGTTACTACAAAGCCTGCGACATATAAAGCTAGGAATCTGGCATTTTTAAGCGATATAGTGAATGTACCTTGAGCACTTGGACCATTATTTACAATAGTTTCTACATAGCAAGTACGGGTGTACCCACTTCCGCTGTACCATTGATCTTCAGGGCAATTTATATAATTTGTGAAAGAGCATGAGTCTCCAGCATATCTGGCATACTTTGCAATTATAGTATCAGAAAAATTTATCATTGTACTTCCATCATGAGTGAGCCTACATGTTCCACCAGCAATAATAACAATTGTTTGAGTGAAGATCTCAGTAGTAGAGGTATCAGTAACCAAAGTAGTTACGCCTGATTAGAAATTAAAGCAGTCTGGTTCATTTGAAGCATAGGCAATCTAAACGACTGAAGTTATAAAGAGAAGGAGTAGGGAGTGGATATTAGTAGAAATTTTCATTTTTAAATTATAATTTAAAATTATAAGAAGCTTCAAATTAGATCAAACAGCTCATTTATTTTATGTTATTTTGTTCTGTAATGTTTCCCGATTTCTTCATCATCTTTTAAATCATGATAGAATATATTTTCCTGTACGTTTGTATTCTCAGATAAAGACTAAGTTGCTATTCTAGTCAAGAAATAGTGGAGGAAATGCAAGTTGCCGTCATTAACAATTACCATGTCAAAGTTCTTTTCATATTCCACAAGCATATCATGTCCGTCCTTGGCTGGATTATTGAAAAACCCAATCGTTAGAAGGTCTTCATCACTCTAATGAAGATGCTTGGCCATTTTAATGTCATCAATAAGATCTCCCATAACGATCAAATTCCTTCTTCTTAACAACTGCTATTCTTGCTGAGACTAATGATTCTTGAAGTAATTGTGCACTACTTAATCTTTATTGCATGTGTGGACTAATGGATCATGGAAACCTAGAATTTTCTTTCCTTCATCACACTTCTTAGATTTATTTGCAATTACATGGACAACATCTGGATTGATTCCAAAATGAGTGCTACCATGCTAATGATGAGCCTAACTTTTTCTGCTTTATGATTCTTTTACTAGCTATTCTATTTTGATGCTTTTGGAAAGTTTATCAACTGCTTTTTCTACAACATCAGCAACTGCAGCTGACACAATCACTAAAGGTACATTCAGATTCGAGCAATTCTTAAGCAAAATGTCTATTCCATTTCTAAAATGCAAATTTGATGTCTCAACCATATCATAGAAATGCTCTACAGACAAGTCTTGCTTTGTAATATGCTCCAAATCTTATTCCCACCATTCTTAAAGCTTGGCAACCTTCTCCTCAACAGTGATATTCAAGGCCTTCTCAAAAGGATGATATCTCTGATACAAAACATTATTGATGCGTCTAAATTCTTCGCTCACAAATTAACTCTACAAAATATTAATAAACTCTTAGATTTATCCCTTACATTGCTAATGCATGAGAAGCTAGAATCTAATTTATTATACCCATCTAATGAATATCGTGTCAAGGTGTAGTCGAAATCACTTAAAATGCATAAGTTCTCTAATCCTCCATGATTGTGGAAATGCCTTAGTTTGTTCTTGACTCTCTCAGAATCCTTAATGATAAGTAGTTCTTTGCTGTTGTAATCAGCGATTAGTGCCCTAGACTGGGTGTTAACAGCTGGCTTAAGATTTGCAGAGAAGTTTCTGATGCTGTTTGGCCCTAACTATCTGGCAAGAGTCCTTTTTAATATTTACTAAGACATTTAATTTAAACAAGCAAAAAATAGACTTAAATTTATATCTAATCATTTAAATACTATTAGCACTTAACAACATTTAATTAGGCTTGAATTCTATTAGATGTCTTGATAATTAAAATGCTTTATAATAATCTCTTTTTAAAAAACCTATTCTCAATTTAACAAAGAATCAATAATTCAAGATGGAAAGATTGAACTTGAGTGACAATGAACAAGGAAGCTAAGTAATTAATATGATCTAAATATTGCTAGTTGTTGATTGATGCCACGCTGTAGTAGTTTGCAGAAAAAGCAAAGAATAACCAGCCAATAAGGGTGACATATTTGTTATCTTTATAATATATTTTTTAGGGAGGCAGAAGAGGAGGATTGATAGTTTTACCTCAAGATATAGATGATGCAAGAAAATGTAAGAATTTCTATAGATTCAGCTTAATGTAGCAATAATATCTAATGAGATAGATGCCTTATTAAGATAATGAGGAGATTAGACAAGAGAGTTTACTCTTCTCTCGGTTCATTATATTCAAAGATAGATATCATGTGTATAAGTTAACATTAAACTCAAGTATTATTATAATTGACCTTAATTTCGATAACTAAATTTATATTCAGAAATGCATGCATTCTTCTTATCTGATTGATGAAAGTTCAATTCTTTTATTCTAAACATTTCTATTACAGTGAGCTAACTATATTTCATTCTGCTAGTCTGGATGAGTTATCAAGACTTTCTTCATCATCGTACCCCCCAAGACCTTAGTGCTTATATTTTTCATTCTAACCCATATCTTTTAGCTCTATACCCCCATCATCTTCGATTCTATATTAGCTTGAATAAGCTGGTCTTTATTATTTATAGCTTCCTCTGCTTCTCTTTCTATTGCTTACTCCTCCATTATTGCTACTGGTTATAAGTTAATCCTACTATCTTTGCTCCATTTGTTTCATGTCAAAAACTATCACTTCATCGTAACCTTATCTCATAGTTTAATCACCTGGTTCACTCTCCATCACATTTGTAAAGTCTATGAGAGTTTTGGCACTCTACTAAGCAAGCTTTTACTTCTTAGCAATAAATATCATTCTGAATGTTTGGAATAAACTCCATGTAATTAAGAGAATTTCCTCACTTAATTCTTCTAGAATAAGTACAGTCCCACTTCTCGAAAGAAGCATTGCAATAAATAGTAAAATACATCCAAAGACGACAAATGTGTCAAAAATGTTCCAACAACCTCCCTTAAAGAATCTTTTCGTCCCTAAAAGCATCACTCTAAAAATGAAATCAATTAGAACTATCAGATTAATGATTAACTCAACTAGTATAAATATAGGATTCTAGTCGATTTGAAATCCTCCAACAAAAGTTGTAATGACTAGTAGAATTGATAATACCATCAAAACCAGATAGAAATATTGACATCTAGGAGATAAATACAACCGTTGTATATAAATTTCGAATCTTGATTGTTCTACATCTAGTAATGCTCTAGTCTCAGTATTATTAGCATCAAATCTATGATGAGGACTTCTGTATAAGATATCATTATTCTCAAATTTAATCTGATCACCCTATGTACCCTATTTCCCTACAACTATTTCTCCCTTCTATTCATAGTAGGGATCATTTATTCCTGAGTCATCCTCCAATTCATTATATCTGCTCTACCTTGACCTCTATATGACCTCAGATTGTTTTAAATCACTTGATCTAGCCGAGGGTATTTTGTTCTCACCAAGACTAAAATATTGGAAATAAAGCAAAAATCAAGCTAATTACTTCATCGTAACATATTGACTTTTATTCTGACTCATTTTTTCGATTTTAAAATTCTTATAAATTAATTCAAAATATTTATCTGCTAAGCGGGGTTTTGGGGTTTTGGGGTTTTGGGGTTTTGGGGAGAACA